ACCAATCAAAGCATGGTAGTAGGGGTTTCTGGAGATCTAACTTGACGCAAATCCGAGCAAAGCCACCTTTATCATAAATAGACATGGACTAGTCAACTTTGATGATTCTGCCAATCACATTCCCAATCATCCTAAGGCATTCCATATTATATAATTCCAGTGGTAGATCAACTAGTCGCACCCATGCTGCTATTTTCCTCTGAGTATTTGCCTTTCACGGATGAAAGTTGGGTCTTCCATTTCTGTACTAGAAGATAATGGTCGTCGATCATCCACGGCCCTTCCTGGAAAGCATAGTCACAATCTTCTTTATTGGTAAACAAGACTGTAGAGTAGCCATTACTCATTGGGATCACCTTTATCTCCCCTTGAGGTTTCCACATACAAATAATCCTATCCTGAACAACGTGCTTCGGGATATCTACACCCAGTAATTTCACAATAAGAGAATTAATCCAAGGTTTACACCAGGAAGAATATTCTTTGGCCGTAGCTACCAGCTTCAGCCATTTTCCCTGTGTCTGATCACTCTGATGTAACTCTTCATCCTCAGCATTCACTGAAGTTTTCAGCTGTTCATCCACTTGATTCATCTTAGAGAAATAAGCCCGCCACCCATTCACCATGTCCTCATCTTCATCATGTTTGACCAGGAACCCTACTCCCCCGACAGCTAACAACTTATCTTTATACGTCAACGGTACAGGACGCAGCGAGCAGAGAGAAATCTCCCTCTTTTCCTTGAGTAACAACCCTAGCTTCCTTATTATCGGGACTACCAAAGGCAAAGGTCGTCGGTAAAGTATCCTGGAATTTATCTCTCTCATGGCCTCTACCTTGGTCACTGTCTTTCTCCCCCAACTATTCATCGCAGACTCCCTCCGCACTCAAGACTCCTCCCTCTCTTCTTCTTTTTGTGTTAGTTTGTGTTCTCCCAAGTTGCATACTCGGCTTTTTTTTTGTTTCCATTCTACTATCAAGACTTGTAATTTTTTTTTTTTTTGGAGAATAAGTTGATGAGGAGGGAGGAGTTGAATTAAACTGTGACTAAATTGAACAAATGGTAAATCAAACACACAGCCGCACAAAAAGGTGTCAAGCTCAACGAAGATGAGAAGGAACAATCATAATAGGGATGGGTTTGTGGTTGAAGAATTAAAGGAGATGTACCTCTATGGGCAATCATATTCAAGTTGTGACAAAGAATATAGCTTGTGAAGCGAATTTAAACGTACAAAGAGCTGTTATATTTTTTGAGATGGCTAAGTTAAAAGGTATAATTCTGCAAGAAAAACGTGTAGCATATCAAAAGATACTTGCAAGTAATGCTTTGTTGGTTGTTTCTGGAAGCTAGTTGGAAGAAGAAAAACAAAAAATGATCCATGATTTATTACATTAGGTGGATCGGAAGTAGATAATGGTTTTTTTTTATTACTGGTAAGTGTTTTACAAGTAGATAGTGCCTTTTTTTTTTAATAAGTAGTTTATTCATCTTGGAAATTATTCAATTTTTGGGATTGCTAGACAGTGGTATATTTTGGGTTTCTAGCAAATAATTTATTCGGTGTTATCAAGTCTCCTGAACAAATAAGTGCAGTTAATATTTATGTTTTTTTTAGAATATTTATGCTCATTAGCTGGTACGAAACTATATGAATAAATTAATATTTACTTGCATAGTTTGTATGCAAATCCTTTCAATTCAAACAAGGATCAATGTACGCAATGAAATATACGAAACGTAACCATTATGGATATATTATTCTTTTTAATCAAACATACAAAATATTAATAAATATTTATTAATAATACCAATTTATTTTCTAACAAAAAATAATATCAATTCGTTAGCTCATTATTGTCTTTTGAACACATATAAATGTGTGATTAAGTTAATGTTTGATAATATTTATTAATATTATCATTTTATTGGTTTATTATTTCAACAGGTATTATTGTCGTTTAAAATGCCTTTTCCATGTACAATTATGGTGCACCAAACAATATTTATACATAGATTCTGTTTAAATGTTCGGTCATACCAAACGGCACTTTTAAACTAGACTCCAATCCAATTCCTTGTCCTATTTCAATTTCATTTTTTTTAGTTCCATTTCATTCAAAATGCTTCCAATGAAGCAAACAGGTCCTTCATTTATTGCCACAATCAGGGTGGAAATAAACACAGGATCTCTCTGAGCGAAGTTTAGACGCTATTTGGAATTCATTGGTAGCACTTCTCCAGGGCCTGGAGGCCCAATTTGCACTGAACCTAGAAAGCACACGGACCACAAAAACAACTACAGTCTATTTTTAGATAATCGACTATAGTCTGTATCCAATGCATAAATATCTGTATAAGATTTTTCGGAGTACAACTGTGGATTAAATTGACGCAATTATCTGTTAAGGTGCACTAAAAAGACTATGTTCAAAAAGTTGGAAGTCTTGTTTTTGGACCTGCAGAAAAATGTTTTCTTTCATCCTCCATCCACCCACACTTCAAAAAATTTATCTTCTAATTGAAATATATGGGCACAGACCTAAAATATTCAGACATGTAAATTAAGCATGTTTTCTTGAAGTTTATGTTTCTAATAAGAGAGAATCATATTCAAAGATCACTCAAACAAATTATTACAAAAAATGATCAATAACAAATTCAATTTAAGAAAATGAGTCACATTTCTATTTTAATGACAATCTATTTCGTATTAATTTTCATCTGTAAATATTTTTTTGAGCGGTTCTTGAATGTGATTCTCCCTTCTAATAATTAAAACACTAAAAGCCTAAAAAATTATTTTTGGGGCTCATTCAAACCGTTTTTGTAGGGGTGTGCATGGGCTGGATTTCACCAAGCTCGGTGCCCAGCCTAAAGCACATATTGGGCCTAGTCGATGCGTAGGTTTCCGTTTCCGTTTCCGTTTCCGCATGTTTATCTTCAAATGAAAGCATGTTGATTTTTGTACCCCAAAAAAAAAAAGAATGTTGATTTCACACGTGTCCGTTCAATCTGAATATTTTACTCATGCCAATGCATTATCTTGATTTTTGAGGCGCTCCTTGGTCCCCCCCCCCCCAAAAAAAAAAAAAAGATTCTTGAGGCGCTGATTTTTCTTGTTCCGTAGAGACAACAAAAAGGAACCAAAGAAGGATACATCCTGATCATCGAAGCCTGCTGATCTTAAGTGACATGTATTCTATTAATACACTCGAGATTTCAGTACTTTTTAAAAATATACACCATTTAAAAAAAAAAAAAAGAACGTCAACAATAAAGAAAAGGATGCATGCGCATCTCGAAAATCCGAGTTAGATAGACGAGGGAGAGGTAAATAAAAAGAAGTTCAATCCAATCACAGGTGGCCCTATCATTTCAGCAGACAGAAAGGATCTTATTCCCACTCAATGTCTTGCTCGGAAAGCGTGAATCAATATTACGACAGGAGCACCACAATCTTTCGAAGGAATCACAGAATTAAGCTCCCTTCAAAAGCACTTTGTACCATTTGGACAGAAAGGAGCAAGCCCTGTCTTGAATAGTTTCAATAAAGATATAGAAACGATGAAACACTTAACTACCAAACTTTGTTAACTTCATTTAACCGACACTCCTTGTATGTTTTCCCACAGAATTACCACCTCCATCCCAAATTATTAAATAACATTGAAAGAATTTTATTGTTACAAAATATAAATAATTTGACAAGAATAAAGTTTTATCAATAGTGTTTTTTTCAATGTCATCCTTCAAGTGAAAAAAATTAAAATGATATTATAGTGTAATAATTAAATATGACGATGCATTTCTGAAGGCTTATAATTTTGCTTTGAAAAAATAAATTTATAAAGAATTATTATTAAACTTTATTAATATCATAATTTTGTATCAAATTATTTTATAATTTGAGAAGTAGGAAATATGTTTTTTTGGTGGCATATCCTTTGCCAATCCCATCGGCATATATTTCATTATCGAGAGCAGTAAAAAACGCATTCCTCTCACAACCTGCTGGTTGTCCCCTCACAGACATAATCTGGATGGCAGTTGCAGTTGGGTGAACATACCTGAGTGATCACATACTGTTCTGTTGTACATATCAGAAAGTTAGCCTTGCACTTGCACCTAACCATCCTCCATGATTCAACTCATTCAACATTCAATACTACAATATTGGCATGGGTAATTCTCCTTGGTAGTACAAATATGGTTATTAAATGCGCCTAGACCAAAGCGTTAAATGCAATGTCACTACAGTACCATTTATAGAGCGCAGAAAAAAAAGAAAAAAGGAACCTGGCAGGGATGATTAAGAGTGGTCCCTGATCTCGTTTAATCTTCTTGAATAAAGAACAGAGATCTTTTTATAGGTCTAAGTGCTGATAAAGTTAATATAAAACAGAGTGAGAAAGAGGTAAACGAGATCTTAATCGAGCAAGTACAGCTGGAAGCGTAGGCAAAGCATATTAACACAACAAATATCTGAGGGGACCTTACTTTCATAAATGCCAGAGCATATCATGTAGAAAATGACCTTATTGGCTCCGCATACAAACATCTAAACTTTTAAGCACTGTAAGGTTGATTTGGAAGCTTAAATTTACCGATAGTGACCTCATGAAAAGTAATCTTTGTCATCATTTCACTCACCGCATTGCATTAGCCACAACGATATTATTCTATTGAAACTCGACTATGAAAGTCTCCAACTGGAGGATCAAATCATGAACAACCAAAAGTTCATTGCGTGCATTAGCAAGCCTAACTTAACCCTCCTCATTATGATTTCAGCTAAAATATCAATATGACTTGAACAAATCAAACAAAAATGCACAATATGGGAAAATAAACCTACAGCACAGACACCCATCCCATTTCATGGGACTACTAGCATTTAGCATGGTATTATACCATTTGAAATATTTCCCCCGGTGTGAATAGTGGATATAAATTTTGACAAAAGTACAGAAAGAGATCAGCAAACAATGAGCCGAAATCATTAAATGAAAACCCTTGATTTATTGGTTTACATAGTAGCTATTATGAGAGAGAGAGAGAGAGAGAGAGAGAGAGAGAGACATGACAGAAATACCTGTGTAAGCCTACTTAGTAATTTTAAAAACAAATGATAATCATCATAAAAAGGGAGAAACACATCCAAATAAGCCATGTTAAAAAGAAAGAAACCAAATTCTCCGCTAGAGAAAGCTGTCCCAGAGCGAAATGCACAGGGAAGCGCCCTCGAAGGCTAAGTCAGATTGTAGATACCATCACCTTCTGTTGAGTCAATCTACAAACATCTCAACAACCCATAACAGCACAATTGTACACAAACACCCCAACATGCTCCTTCACCGCAAGAACCTGCCAATCTAAGGTGCCATTTTTTACCCCTGATGCAGGGCACCAGGAATTCAGCACAACAGCTTCACCTTCAGGACCTCTCTGACCACCCACGACCAGAAGGTGCTTCCCACAAGCCTTGAAAGCCAAACCCCATCCATTAGAAGAATCAGCCCGGACTGGAAGCCTTCCCAATTCATCCCAGGCATTCTTTACCTTGTTGTACTTCTTCACCATGTTGGTTAGATGCTCCACAGCAAATAACTGGTTGTCCACAACTGCCACAAGTGGGGGTGCCTGAGCAGCCCCATTAACAAATGGATACATATCCTCTATTTTCCGCCAACTTCTCGTCTCAAGATTATACTCCTCTCCACAGGTCAACGAAACCGTAGGACTTGACATTCCACCGATCACATAGAATTTGCCATCCATGAAAAAACCAGAGCACAATCTACGTGGTGTGTGCATGCTTGGTAACTGTTCCCATCCACCTGACAAAGAGTCATACAGCTCAACTGATTTTAGAACATTTCCATTTTTATCACTTCCACCTGCAACAATGGCAATTGAGCCAAGACTACCAGATCCAAACAAACAGCGCGGCCGATTCATCCCCTGACACTTAACCCAACCATGAAAAATCAAGCTATACTTCCAAATAGCAAAATCCAACAATTCCCGACCAAATACCAACAGTTCACTGCCCACAGCCAAGGACTCCTTGTCTGCATGGTTGAAGCATTCATCACACGGTATCTTAGGCAATGCCATCCATTTCTTTTTCACGGTGTCAAATGCTTCCCATCCCCTTGGATCACACACCAAATAAACCCAATGCTCAACAAGTCCCAACTGTTTCCTCAACCCATATAAATACCCACTTTTAATCAGCTTATTGTATCTTTTATTTATACAAGATAGCGAAGCATAATCCGATCTGCTAACCCACGCAAGACAATTGAGGGCAACATCATCAATAAGACCAGGGAGAAGAGAATCATTTGGTTCAATTCTAGTTCGACCATCATTCACTCCTTCCCTTGAATTCATTTTCAGAATCTTTTTCACCTTCTCTTCATCTTCCTGCATAGAACAAGACAAACATATTTCCCTTGTCATACCAAAAGATCTCTAGTTCATCCCAAGAAAACCATGGCAGATTAAAAGCAAGCTTCGACAGCAGTATCCCAAGATCCTATTACGCCACAGTTTTCTACCATGCGGCCTATGCCCAGAAAGTAAATTCCAATATCATCATGCGACTAGTTTCTAACTACGTGAAATTTTCCGGCAATTGAGAAACTTCAGTTAGGAGCCTCTACTTGGATTATCCTATTAATCAAACCCTCACGGGACTTCTTCCAATTTGTATATTACTATTTTACAGAAAAAACAGGATCTTGGGGAAAAAATAAAAAACGAGTGCAGGATGAAATGAATCGGCATAAAAGCTTTAAATTCCAGTAATACCGGCCAGTTCACAAGAGCTCCCAGAAATTTCCCTCGACCAGATTCCAAGTGTCGAGACAAACAGAACAAACTGCAAATCCATGAAAGCGATAAATTAGCATAAATTAAAGGAGCAAGCGAAAAAACTATGCATGCAACTATAAAATATAAAATAATCCGATACTAGCAAAAGGTTATGCGTTGATCCAGTTCGAGAAACAAAAGCCGGATACGGATCCAAATCGCAAGAATTAAATTCGTTTTTCAGAAGCCGATATGAGAGTGAAGATGAATGCAGGCGTACCAGGAAGCAAGAAAAACGTTTGGATCTCAGACACAGAACCGCCACATGATTTGACGAGAATAATAGTGGCGTCAGAGCATGATGCCGGTGACCGGCGATTGTAGGAAAGGGTGAAGGTTGGCTTTAAGATAACTTGGAACAGGGAAACGCACAAGTACTATATATGCAAATTTTGCCATCAAACTTGATTAATTTGCAGTAATGACCCCGTATTTGTTTGCCTTTTTCCTCACCCCCTAGTGTATCATATGGTAGTGAACACGTTCTCCTTTCCGATGTGGATTTTCTCCGGGGCAAAAGCAAATATCTCTTTCAAAGTTCCTATGCCTCCAACAAATTCATTTTAAATTAAAATTATTAAATAATTTGGAAGCTTGTTAGTTTATTATGAAAATATAAACTTGCTTTGAGAACGTTCCAACTAGGGCTACATAAAGGCTTTCATTGGCAATTTTTTTTTTGGTAGACATGATTTAATTTTTACTTTAATTTAATTGTGAGTATATCAGGAAGCTAATGTTCTACTTTGGGGTAGAATTTTTTATGGCCTAAGTAATGTCACAGTCTCACGGACTGAGAATGCTTATTGTTGTTATTTCAATGCCTGTTCTTGTTCTCGCACAGCTCGTCGATGGGATCCAAATTTTAACAGTTCATTATATTGGGTAGAAGATAAATCTAAATATTTGTAAGATACGACACACTCGTTGTAATATTTGAACAAGACGCACATCGACCCACAACTTGCAAACCGGTAATGTTGATAGTCAAACTTATTATTTATTTATTTATTTTTTTTATCCTCATGTCTGGACTGATAGTCAAAGATCTTAAAAATTATAATTTCTTAACAAATATGAAAGGATCTCGCATTTGATTTATAAAGATAAAAATGCCTGTGGCCTGACTCGTGATAAGAGTAAATTTGAAAAGTCTTGTAAATAATGTATAAATGTTCAGGTTCGGGAAAAATTTAGGTAAGCGAATCTAAGATTTTTAATGACATTAAAAAATATATTTTTACAAGCGGAACCAAGACCGTAACTTCCCACTTACACTGGAGCATGCATGTTACTAGACTGCAAATTACTGGCTCCATCAAATGATCTTCAACAATCAATTACCACCAATTTGATTTTAATAGGATCGCGTGGTATAAAATGTTTGCGGATAAATATGCGTGGCACCTTCTTGGATTTCTATAATCATGTTTTTTTTTTTTTTTTGCAAAGGTCCTTCGAGAAGAAACACTCCTATGCTCTTCCCTTTAGTTAAATACACAATTTATACTTTATTTATTATATTTATAAGTCAATTTTAGTACATTTTATCAGAATTAAAAAAACTTAAAACTTGTTAATTCTGCATTAAAGTTTAATAAGTTCTCAATTTTACTCCGATTAAACATATATATCTTAACAATATATTTTCTTTTTCAATATTTAATAGAAAGTAAAAGAAAAAAATTATATTAAAAATTTAATAAAATAATTTATAAATAAGATAAAAAAATATTTTTTCCATGATCTATAAATAAAATTAAAAGAGTATTGATGTACCATTTGTTTGGTTTGGATAAGTATATACCATTTAATTGATTAATCGATAACAACAGGAGCAATACGGCCAATATATATATATATATATATATTAGATAGATTGGACTAGAAGGGGGGCACATGTGATGAAATCAATTTTTTTAATCCATTACCCATGCGTTTGATCGGTCCAGACGAGTCATTGATTTGTCCACGACTTAAATAGCAATAAGGTTATCCTATCATTACTGATACTGTAATTATTGTTACATTTACTTTTAATTTTTATTATAAAATATCTCTAATTATTTTATTAAAATTAAATTAATAATTTTATTTATAATTAATGAATTTAAATAAAATAATATTTTATAGTAAAGAAGAATTTTATAACGGGGAACAGGGAGTATTAAACATAGTGGACATTTATATGATGGGACTTGACACTGGACCGGTCTAATTAAATGCCTTGAGAAAAATGAATGGTTTTTTTAGTTTTGAACCATCTTCAAAATTGCTGCCAAACATAACCAATCCTGTTAGGTCAATTTATCGGAGTTAATTCTTAATGTCAAAAAGTATGTGCATCATATCATTGTCCCCCTTGTCCTGTTTACAGGCACGAAAAAGATTTTTCTTATTATAAATTACATATTCTTTCTCTTACCTTCCATCAAATAATAACAAAAAAAATATTATTAAAATATATTCTATTCATTTAAAAATATAAAATATTTTTAATTGGATTTTACTTCAATAATAAATTATTTACTTTTCAATTAACTCTATCTTTTTATATTTATTCTTATTAAATACTCTATGATAAATATAAAGTAATTCATCGAGCACTTTAAAAAAGTAATGATTACACCTCAAAAAATTAAAAATATCTTATATTTTTAAACACTCAACTCCTCAAAAATACCTTAAATTTTTAAACGGAGGGAGTATATGTGTAGTTTGACAAAAAGTTATGTATATTTAACAGAGATAAACTTAAAAAATTATTAAATTTTTAGACATAGTTAATGAGTTTTAAATTTTTGCTTAATTTTTGTTAAATATGTCAAAAATAACTTATAAATATAACTGAAAAAATATTACCTTTTTGTTATAAAAAAAGAAAGACATTTTTGTAGGGGTTAGATGTTAAAAAATATAAAATACTTTTAGTATTTTAAAGTTTAATCATTACTTTTTTAAAAAATTTATTAATTAATAAATCATTTTATATTTATTTTAAAATTAAATTTTTATTAAATAAGAATAAATATAAAAAAATGCATTAATTTGAAGGCAATATTGAAAGATAAGATTTAATTAAAAATTTTTTATTTATACAAAGGAGGGTATAGTTCGAAGTAAAAGCATGATCTAATAACTCAGTTTAAATCATTTGATCAAAGGGGGCAGAAAAATGAGCAAATATGACCCGTGCTGTTATGATGTGGAGGTTGGGATTAGCGAGAATAAATGGAGAATGGAGAGCAGAGTGAAAGAGGACAAGAGAGAAAAATGCAGGAATTGTGGGGAGGGGGGGAAATATTGAGGAAGAACCCAAGTTTGACCTGTAAGTTGTAATTGTCACCATCACTTCCCTCGTCTATGCGCCCATAGTAAATACATGAAGATCCTATTCTTTACGAAACTCCCTGTATTAATTGGCGATCAACTCCATTTTATTAATCAAACCTATGGCCCTTATCTTTTTTATTTTGGCCCCTCTCTCGCTGCTGACGTGTTGACCTTGTCCTCTAGCGCTCTACGGTTTACACGCGTATTGACTAGGTGCCAACTCCTACTTCTTTTCTTCATGCTTTTAAACTTCCCGGCACATTCGCTGCCCCTCGCCCCCCCCCCAAAAAAAAAAAAAAAAAAACTTCCCAATACAATCAAAACCAAACCCAAGTTATTATTTAAATCCAGCCCCCCGCCTCGAAATTAAAAAATATAAAATATAATTTGTTGTTTAAAATTGTTAACAAAAATGTCCCAGAGAGACTTATCTTTTACAACTTAATTAAAACAACAGGCTGGGTACGTGATCGGCGGAGGCAAATATTTGGCACACAGTTGATTTGGGTGACGGGAATAAATAGTTGAGGGATATTTTTTTTTTAAAGAAAAAGTGACGTGGATGTGATTGCGAGGTTTTCAAAAACAAACAGAGGTGAAGTGAAGTGGCATGGAGAATAAAGAAAAACTTGAGAAGAGCGGGCACAGGGTAAGTAGGAGGAGGCAGCCTTAGGCAATAAATGCAATCCTGAGAGAGGTGGACGCGTCAGCCGTCAGGATCGCTTTGCTTTCCTTCTCAATCGATGGCACTCGCATGCAAAATAGGAAAGCCGTAAGAATTATTAAAAATAAATAAATAAATAAAAGAACGGGGCAGGGGCCAGGGGGAGAGGGGGAGAGAGTAACGAACGAACAATTACATGTACTCACAACTCGCCCACAGTTGTGCTGTGCCTGTGCCTACCTTCCCCTCTCAGTACTCCTTCCCATTTTTATTTATTTCACCTTTTTTTCTCGTTTCCATTTTCCTTTTCTTCTTTTCTTCTTTCTTTTTATCTGATTTTCTCTAGTCTCAACCAAAAAGCACATCAGTGACAAAGTTCTCCCACCAAGCTTTCCAGTGAGACTGTGGATTTAGATCTTTACTCTCTATCTCTCCATGCCGTTTGTCTGGTTTAATGCTATTCATTTAATCACTGTCATAAAGGAACATTATGATCTTCTTTTAAGTGCAAAAGTATTTAAGCGATGATATCAAATATTCAGATATGTCTAAAATTATGCGTTGAAAAAACACACACAGGATCTAAATCTGAAGCTACATGCCTAGCTAGAGCTTCAACTCCACTCAAAACTACCACTAATTTAGTTGTAAAAACTCGACAGCTGAGTACCGATACAAACCTTGTTGATCAACGATGCCCTTCATCTCCAACTCGAACATTGTTTTCTTATTTAACCAAAAAAAAAAAATCTTCGGTTCCTTATAAATCACTGTCTTGCTTAAAAAAAAAAACATTTTACATAATTTTAAAATCATCTCTTAGATTAGCCTTGGGGAAAAAAAATACTCTTAAACTCTAAAGCTCCGTCCCCCCTTGCGTTTAATATATATATATATATATATTTGGTCAAACCCTTACCGATACCGTAACTCT